TGCACCAAAATAGCATTGTGCAACAAAAACCCATATCACATGTAGCATTTCAATTTCAAAAAATTAATGAAACATACAAAGAAATCATAGAAGAATCACCCGACGAAAACTTTCGCTCTTAAAACAATCATTTTTTAAGCTCACGATGAGCCGCCAGATTGGATCCCTCAACGGTTTGCTTTCCTATCCTTCCAACCCCAACTGACATGACTCTCTTGCATCCATCTTAGATCTCACCTGTTTTTAGTCCCTGTTTTTCGTCTAACTTATCACACATAGATTCTGACGACTCAACCCAAACTGTATTTAACACTAACTTCCATTTAAATATACCCGCAGTTGACACACCCGATGAAATTTTAGATTCCGAGCCAAGTCACACTAAGTTTTCTCTACGACTTCTCCAGCCCGAAACTTTCCACACCCCTGTCAAAAAATCTAATTCAAACTCTTCCCACACTCACGCTACACCCATTCTCTCTTCTCTTTTAAGTATTGCACCTGATTTCTTTAGCCCAATAACTGTTGACCAGCTTGGGCATGATGTAGACAACTTTATTTCAAACCAACAGCAAATCCATAACTCAAACAGTCTGCTAACGATTCACCAATTATTTCACAACACATCAACTTCCGAGTCAACTGGATCATCCACCCGCAATGTCCCCACCCGTGCATAACGTGTCTCTATGAAGGCAAAACATCCCAACAACACACACCAGTGCTTATTCAACGGCCAAATATCATTCCGATCCCTTCAAAGTAACTACCCCCATCACACTAAACACACCATCAGTTTTAGTTGAAAGCCTCTCCTTCTTCCCCCAGTAAACGTATAGTGACGCAAAAAACCAGGCCCAACGAGCCCTGTATATCGACGAATGTTTTCTTCTCCCAACATTTCTTGGCTCTTATACTATAACTTCACTAACCCGCTCAAAATTAGCTTAAGGAAGACAGCAGACGGCGACGAACTTTGCGACAGCATCATCCAACAACTCAACACTGCTCTACACTAAAATCAATTTACTAACTTTGGCTTATCACAGACACTTAATCGGTTCATCGAACGAAAATTAAATCAATTTTCATTAGCTCACTATGATCACATAGTCATCCGATTAATGGACAACTCACCGTATGATACTAACCCCATAGTGAATTTCCAGTTCACTTAAAAAAATTTCATCATGACAGACTAGACAGACTACATCTTTGACATCAAGAGCTTCACAAAAATTTGATTTTGTATCGACCATGCACTCCAGATAACAAAAGCTTATGAATCGCACTTTAGTAACTTTGACCACTTTCAACTAACTTTTAGTTTTCTTGTCCCTAAAGAGCGTGATTTTAATTATTCCCACGAAACCATACTTTAAACTAAACTCACTCCTACTCATACCTAATACAGATTTATTCAACGTCACTTTCTTAATAGTTTACCCTCCGGCAACTCCCACCACCGCTCGGGTTTATCATCTCTAAATACACATCACCATACTTTCGTAGCATCACTTAGTGCATAAAAACAATTAACCTCCACGGCTTTCTCCGAAACTATGATCCGGCTAGACCAATGGATATCTTTTGCCTTCTCACTCATAATTTCTCTTTGGAAGACTCCCGCCCCATCATCACTGCATGAAAATACCCAACCAGTTGAAATTGTCCTTTTAGAAAACATCCACAAAATTAAGTTCAACCACAAATTACATAACCTAATACAGAACTCTAACCTTGAATTTTTTGTCATTTCTGAAGAAACTAAAATTATTTGCGCCATTGAACTTCTTTGGCCACTCCTACGCACTAAAAACGTGACCCGATTACTTACAAAGCTTTTGCTACATTCACCCACTATAAAGACTATTTTCCCAAAGGTTTTTTTTTCGGAACCTACTACTCAGTAGCTATAAACTTTTAAAGCTCCATAATTCAATATTTAAAATATCACTCACCATTTGTAAACGTGTATTTACGGTTTCTTTTTAGATTTTCCGAGAATTTCCGAGTAAGATAAATTAAAATCAAACGAAATTAAAAAAAACATTAGAACAAAATTTCATTCAAAATTTCTAATCACTCGCAATAATTTCTTTAAAAGCAATAAAATTGACAAATAGCAAAAAACTTTTAGTAGAGCTTCAAATTACAATTACGAAGTATTGAATTAAAATTAAAGAAACTAAATCAAATAGATTAACTTTTTTCTGTGTGCTCAATTTTTGTATATTTTATATTTTTTGTTCAACTCGACCACATTTTACGCCCTCTTTGCCGACAGCTCAACGTAACTCGCCCTTGTAGAATTATTTGGAAATTAATTTCTAGCTTGTCACTCTAATTGTTTAAAATTTGTTTTTTACACGTTTGATAACTTTCCCTTAACCCGGAAGGAATTACAACTAAGCTTAACTAATCAATGCAATTTACCAACACCAGCAAACCAATTACATGAACAGGAAAGTCTCCCAGTATCCAAATCAGATTGAAACAAGATTAAAACTGGATAAACTATTTTTTTGAACCTCGGTTTAAATTTTTATTATAACTACATGAAACGTAAAAACACTGAAAAAAACAACAAAAACCAAAAACAATTTGATTTTGAGGAAAATACACAACCAGAGAACAAAAGAAAAAACACGCGATAAAAAAAGTTTTAACTTGGAAAGAGACTCTGCTCAAAAAGGCGGTAAATTTTTACTCCTCCAACTGGCCTGCTCCACCAGTATAGGACCTGAGCATGCTTTATAGCCCCGCTACACCACGCTTATGACACACTCCACTATTTTTGATCAGAGTAGCTCTAGAAGCTCTAGGGTGACAAAATCTTTAGAATAACCGAACTAAAAAAATGCTTTTACGAAAAAAATTAACAGAGATCCTGACTAAAACTGAGATCCTTAACAAGGTGCAGATATAAATTCAATGTGAAAAACTTCGCGCAGCAAAGAAACATGCAAGAAACAGGAGAAGAAAACTCAATGACATTCCGTCCCTGGAATGGCAAACCTTTTGGTTTTGCTTGCCGCAGTCAAAAAACTCACAGGATATAAAGTATGGAGTCGGAATTGCAGCACAGGTACCTGCTGAACAGTAAAAAGGGCCAACTCGATGTTGAACTCAGACATTCGTATCCTTCTCACTTGGGGCTTCACTCAAAGAAGTCTAGCCCTATACCACTATTCGATGAATAGCTGGGAATTCATGTAGTTTTGCTCTACTTAACGAAATGGACTCGTCACTATATCAATCTGCAACCTTGATACGAACACTCGACTCATCTACGTTACACGTAATCTGTTACCTTTTCAAGAGCAACTGCTTTTCTTCTCTCTCTCTCTCTCTCTCTCTCTCTCTCTGCAAGATGATTATTCCAAATCATGAGCAACTGTTTCTCCAATCTCTTCACTCCTTTACGAATCTACCAGAGGAAAAAATTAAGAAGTTTCTACATCCATCTTTCACGAGAAAAAACTTAATAGCTTAAAATTTTGTATGGGTGGAACCAGTTCAAAACAAGTTTATTCTATAAGGGTTATATTTAATAGTAAGCTGGTTTAAATTGTGTAGGTTGTTTTTGAGCCGTGTTTGTGATGTTTTATTTGACAACCCACTTTCGCGATACCTGACTTGTACAGGCCTCCGTTTATTCCTTGCGGTTGTTCTTTTCTTCAAAATCTGTTGTCTCGACTTTCTTGCGCGTAAATAGGTCCGTTTTTTTCTCCGTTTGCTCGAAAAATACGTCCTTGACTCTGGTCCTTCAAGCTCTTTAATCTGCTGAGAAGTGAGCGCGGGCCACCTCAATATTCTGTTGTCGACAATTTGTGAAAGTTAGTCAGGCTCAGCTCGTTTTTGCAAAAAGTGTCTGCTGGTCGTCAAGGGTCGGCTGTGATTCGTGTCAAACTAACGTCCGGGTCGGCTGTGATTCGTTTCAAACTAACGTCCGGGTCGGCTCTGATTCGTGTCAAACTAACATCCGGGTCGGCTGTGATTCGAGTCAAACTAACGTCCGGGTTGGCTGTGATTCGTGTCAAACTAACGTCCGGGTCGGCTGTGATTCGAGTCAAACTAACGTCCGGGTTGGCTGTGATTCGTGTCAAACTAACGTCCGGGTCGGCTATGATTCGTGTCAAACTAACATCCGGGTCGGCTCTGATTCGTGTCACGGGTCGGCGGATCAAAATGTGGTGCACTCTTGCATCCTGTAAGACTCGGGATCTGTAAAACCTGCTTCAACATCTGTAAATTATATGGCTATATAAACAGATAATATGACAATAAATAGTGTCCGAAAAAAAAATAAGGTAAACTTCTTCAGGTTAACATGTCATCAAAACGTTTCTCAACTATTTCAAAAATCTGTAAACATTTTTGATGGCAAACTGATCTTAATCGGGCAAACCAGTAGTTTCAAGGCCTTTTGTCTAAGAAGATCTAATTTTAGCTTTCTCACTTTCGCGCTATAATGACGTCATTAATTTTAGCGCGAACGTCTTCCGCGCCCAAATATTTTTTAAAAACTATAATGAATGTTTACTGAAAGATATTTGATCAAAATGGATTTTAACGGTAAAACTTTGGTGCGGGGTTTGCGTTCTTACGTAGCTATTTGATTATAATATTTGTGACGTTGTGACGCATCGGTAGTGATGGTGCCCAGCAATCATTTAATTGCGGGTTCATTCGTATGTGTGCTGCAATTCGCAAGGTGAGCTCTGCTAAGATAGCCATAGCTTAGTTAACCTTAAATAATTAGCCTTCGAGTTGGGCCATTGGCTGATTTACTAAAATGACGAAAATACATTGAACATACATGTCAACAAAATATCGAAATACATGTCGAAAAACTACCAAATATATCGAAACTTGTGGTGCACTCTCGTATCCTGTAAGACTCGGGATCTAAAAAACCTGCTTCAACATCTGTAAATTATCGGCAAATTAAACAGATAATATGACAACAAATAGTATCCGAAAAAAAATAAGGTAAACATCTTCCGGTTAACATGTTATCAAAACGTTTCTCAACAATCTCAAAAATCTGTAAACATTTTTGATGGCAAAGTGACCTTAATCGGACAAACCAGTAGTTTCAAGGCCTTTTGTCTAAGAAAATCTGATTTTAGCTTTTTCACTTTCGCGCTATAATGACGTCATTAATTTAAGCGCGAACAAAACTCACTCCTAGAAAAAATCTTAGAACCGCGGAGGAGAAGAAGATTGCTAAATAGCTTTCATTATACTCTAAAAGCGAGGCGTTATTTCTTTATAAAATAAATTCTAGCAATACAAAACGCGATAAAAATACAAAAAAAATGGAGATTTAGATTCTGCACCGATGTTTTTTTTGTTTTAAGAGTAAGAGCCAGGTCCCTTAGGGCTTTTTAAAGCTATGTTCCACTCAGTTCGTTCTTACAATTCTCTCAGAGCAGCAGAAAACTCAACCAGCAGTTTGGTTCCCTTGATTTTCAAATTTTTCTGACAGAATTCAAGAAAAAATTGAGGCGCTGTGGCTTGCCATGTTTTCATCTCCTTCAAGTTTTGTCCTGTGAAAGTTCCCAGTTCTGATTCTTTCAAATGCGATTTTTGGAAACCCATTGAAGCTAGCCATTCCTTCACTTCATCAGTAGTCCACTGCATAAACTTAGTTATGTTTATGCTAGCTGAACTGGGAGTCGAGTTCAAATTGTTCTGTTTGTTTTCGCTGACAATGAAATCAATTTCATCGACGCTTTCGGTTACTGATTTCGTTTTGTTGATGTAGTTGATTAGATTTGCAAAGTTGACGGAGAAATCTATCTCGTTATGCAGTTGGTAATAGATCTCGGCGCCGAGAATGAGTCCGAGCCATCCTCGGGGTTCAAACTCTGGCTGGACTTTGGCGAACACTATTTTCTTCTTCTGCTTGTAAGCATATGTTGCTTCTGCTCTACACGACTGGCTATTACTGTAGTCTTCAGAGAAGCAGCAGATTACGATCTCAGAGTTGTCCACCGCCTCCGCCATCTTTTCCAGCGAGTCCCCTTCCATTTTTTCGACGTCTATCCAAACCTCTTTTCCACTTTTCTTCAGACCCTCGAACAGTTTTAGAGCTGTTTTTTGTTGATTCCAACAATAGCTGATCATGATGTGCAGGGCCTTTGGTTGAGTTTGGGTTATTGGCAGTCGTTGTTTTTGAGCGTTATTTTTGGATAGATTTTCCTTTTCCGTTTTTCCCAGCCCCCATAGTATTCCCTTTGCTGCGCTTGAGATCTCCGTATTTTTACTTTGGGAGGCTTTTTGAATTATGTTGACAATTTTGTGACTTTTTAGTTTTTCGCGACATGTGTCCAAGAAGCTGAGGGACCAAATAAGATGCAATGACCATTTAACCTCCAAATGATCCCTGGTTTCATCGAGTATTTTGAAACAATCGTCTACTATTCCAAGATTCAACATTTCAATCGCATTGTTAAAGTTTTTTGCCAATCTGGATAAACTTTCTAACAACTCTTCAACTGTGTAACCGCTTGAATTTCGTCTGGTCTCTGAGCGCATCGCTTCTTCTAGAAGATTCCGAATCACAAATTTGATATTGCATTGGGTTGCTTGGATTATTTCATTGCTTTCGTCTAAATCTGCGGCGAAAGTCAACACCAAAAGTGCACATGCCTTAATGCTGGGTATTTTGCTTTTAAGGTACAGCAAGCAAGTTTGGACTAAACCCGTTTTCCGCATAATTCGCTGGGATTCCGAGTAATATCTGAGTATGTTGTAAATCACCGTAAACAGAGAATCAAGAGCCACCACCATCTTCCATCGCAATCTTTCATCGCAGGCATCATCGCTGAGAAGTCCATTTTTGATATCTGGATGTTCCAAGCTCCAAATTATCAGCTTGTAAGCTCCAGAATCTATTAGTTTTTTTCTGATGTCCCCACTTCGTTCGGAACCGCTGCTAATAAGACCAGATAACTGTTCATAATTGAAGAAAGCGGGCTCGGCAAAAAAGTCGTTTTTCAGACAATTCAAACTATTTGAGAAAAGTCCGACGAGTTCTAATTCGTTGGCCAGTTTCCAAAAATCAACTTGAAAACTGTCCAGACTATCGTGCATTTGGTTCAGACTCATCAAAGGCTCACTGAGATCATCTTTTTCTAAATTTTTTTCCTTTACTTTCGAAAAACAAGCTTTGATAGCCTCACCAATTTTGGTCCAGTCTTCGACAGAATGAGAACGTGTTTCCTCTTCATCTTCGCTGGACGAGAAGTACAGATCTTCTGTTTTCTTTTCAATTTCAGATGTTTTCTGCCGGCAAACTGCATTTGTTTGAACGATTTTCTTCATTTCTTAGTTACAAGACTTAATAACAAATAATAAATTTAAATTGTAGCATGTAACATTTTTTTGGTATCTCTTGCAGCAAGAATAAAATTGTCATGTTTAATGCTCGTGCACTTACAAGTAAGCGTGATTGAACGATTTTGTTACCAGCACAAATAATCAAAACTCATCAGCAACGATAGCTATTTCAGCATAAAACATCCGAACATAAAAATACAAAAAATAGGACATAAAACTACATTCGGACATAAAATAAACAGCTTCATGTTAACTTGGTCCAAATATTTGCTAAAGTTCCGATTATGCAACAATCCAGTTAAAGAAATCCGATAGGTTGCCCTAAGCAAACGTAACTCATTATTCTTTTCAATAGAAGAGCCTTAGCATGACTGCTACAATACAACCACTCGCAACTTGAATGGTATAAGAATGCTGACATTTACTAGTAACAAATTGCTCGGAGCAAGGCAAAGCCCTCTCATTTATAATTAGTCACCTCGTTTGTTTTTGGTAAATTATGCCTAAAGTTCTAATTTTTGAAATTATTCTTTTTATTAGTTTTTTCGCCTCACAAACAAGACCCGGGTTCGGGTTGACTTCTATAGATTGAAAATTTTTATCACACCATTATGCCTACATTGAGCCTATCAAAAATGCTCTTCACACTATTTTTTTAATGATATATGTATGACTAGCAGTTTTTTATAAATAAATTTAGTTCAATGAAACTGATAAATGAATGACAGCATGCAATTCAAAATAATAAGTCAAACTGCCTAACTTATTGGATTTTTTTTTAAAAAGCTGCTTCATTTCTAAAAATTTCTAGAAAAAAAAAACTAGAAAATTTTTTTGCACGATCGATTCAACTTTTCTTAGCCCACATTTCAAAATTGAGGAAGAAACGTTCAATTGTTCTATGCTTAGTCACAAAACCAATTATATGCGCCAGGAAACTTTTCAAGAAACGCGTTGTCTATAATTTTGGAACTTTTAATTTAAAGTTTGGTGGGGAGACAACGTTTTATTACAAAAGAAAGAAAAATCATTATTAGCGTAATGAGTGATGCCAGATTTGTTTTGTTTTTGTTAATGCGATTTTCCAAATGATGAATGGGTAACCACAATGCAGTCACGGCAATCTAAAACTCTTTAGGTACATTTTTTATTTTGTGAAACTTGCCGCGACTTATTTTTCGACAATGCTGCGACTTTTTTTTGGCCTGGCCTTGACTTATTTTTTTGACCACTGCGACACGCAACAAGTCGAAAAATAAGTTGCTTGGGGTATTTTTTTATTCAGTCATTTTACGACATTCTAACAAAAAATGGTCCATTGATTTTTTTGACAAAGCCATCTGAGAGAAATTGTTGTCTTGAGCTCAAATTGAAAAAGATATTTCACCTGGACGTAAAGCATATTCAAATTTCACTGATAACCGGGTTCGAACCCCAGGGGAAAACCCGTTTGTTTTTCCGTAGCTACTTAAATTAATTAATTATACACAGCCTTTGCAGAGACCTCGATTGACATGTTTGTGTCTGTCAAAATCGGGTACTGATAAAAATGTGAGCTTGGTTGCTGATTAAACCAAGCTTGAATGCTTAGAATTGGAGCTGATTAAACTTGTTTTAATTGAACATGCATCAGCTGTAAGATTACTAAAACTTAATCGATTGTTGTTAAGTTTTGTTTATACGATATAGTTCGAACAGATATCGAGTTTTGTTCGCACGCTTTCGATAAGGCGACTCGGCGAGATTATTTTGCCAGCGACCGACGCTAGATACCAAACATAAGAACCAAAAACTGTGCTGGACAGCTGGAATCATAAACCTAATTGCGGCCGAGATCAGAACAAGAATCTGAATGACTCAAGAATCTGAATCACATTGAGCGCATATTTCTCCGATTTGCGTACCTTTTTGTGATATACCTTCTTTTCACTTTTTGTGGCGCGAGGATTACTTGGCATATTTCTGGTGCCCAAGACTGCCAGCTTTTCAGCAAACTTCTAGGAAAAACGTTGAAAGGTTCTCTGAATTATCTTTTGCAGTACTTATGAGGGCAAAGGGCGCTACCCTGTAGATCAAGTAACTGCGTTACACTATGACTAAAACAACGTCGCTGACTCCGCAACAGTTAAGACCTTATCTGATCGGCCAACTAGTAAGACCTCTCGTTCATCTTGCCTCTCCAGGGAGTAAACATTAGGCGAACTGCTAACTGAATAAATTGTAACTGCACAATAAGTTTGAACTATAGAGCCGGTAAAACAAAAAACAGTTGGCCGACGACCGTCTAAGCCAATAACAGACCAAAAAGTTAATAGCTTTTTTGGTGCTGGTTACTCATAACATAAAGTTTAGTCAAACTCCCACTGATGACCGGGTTCGTAACCACCCCACAATCTAATTTTTTGTGTAGCTTCTTAATTAAGTTCTTATAACGGCCTTAGCCTGCCGTAATTGTCAGGTCAGTCAAAACCATGTTTTGCCAAAAATGTAATTGACGACTTGATTAAAATCAGTGCTGAATCGCTTTGCCTTGGTTGAATATAATTCAACAGTAATTTTAACAAAAATCTCCTTTACGACTTTCGAATAAAAAGCGGATCATTTATACCTGGTGTGGTTTTATTATATTCAGTCAATATTCAGTCAAGTTGCAGCAAAAAAATCTCGAACAGGGTCATTGTAGTTTAGGTGTCCGCAAATGTCGCGTCGCGACCATACCAAAATATTTCACGAATGATGTGAAATTTACAAGCGTCGTCCATTATCTGTGCTGCAACTTGTATAAAGTATGCATATTTTATTTTGAAGTAAAAGTAAGCAATAGGTTTTTTAGTGTCTCAAATTATTTCCAATTTCCTTATGCACGTTTTTTTTTCATAGCCTTCTAAATAAAACACTAAGCACTCAAAAAACTTTTTAAAGATTTTTTTTCCGAAAATGTACCCAGAATTTCTGTTGAGATGATTAGGTGCATCATTTTTGTCTGCTGTCATACATCAATGTATAAGCAATCTCTAATATTTAATCCGGACTGATTAGCAAACAGAATGAAGTACCGTACCCGAACTGAGTTTTCTCGAATAAAAACAGATTACCTTGAGAAAATGTTGCGGAAAATGTTGCCATTATAATCGATTGTGTGTAACCAATTTAAGCAACATTTTCTATTATAATAGAAAGAAAATAGATTATTTTCATGAAGATTATATTGCCTTATAATTCTACAAAAACGTTTTTTTTATCTCCACATAATGTCAACAAAGTCTATTTTTTTTTCGCCCTGAAATCGCCATAAAAATGCAATAAAATATACTGTATTTGCCATGAAACTGCCAAAAAATCGCAACAAAAACTATTGCTATCGCCATAAAAATGCAGTAAAATCTGGGACCCAAAACATAAATTATGTTGTCAAAAAAATGGATTTTGTTGTCTGAAAAACTGACTTTTTCTCTTCTTAAAAGCACATGCTAAAAGCATGTGAAATAAAAATCCATTATAATTCATTATAATTGATTATAATTCATTTCATTTTTAGAGCTAAATTCGATTATTTTTGCAAAAAAATTGCAAATTTTGCGGAAACGCCTCAACGTCATCCCTTCAGCCCCTCAAGATTTTTACCCCCCCCCCCCCCCCAACTGAAGGGGTAGGGTAAAATGGGGGGTGTAAATTGGGGGGGCATAACCGGGGGATGGGTAAATAAAACGGGGGGGGGGGGGGATAAAGTGGTAAACTGGGGAGGAGGGGGGGGGGGGAGGGTAAATAGTGGGAGGGGCGTAAGCTGGGGAGGGGCGTAAGCTGTGAAGGGGGGTAGTAAACTGGTGGGGGTAGTGAACTGGGGGCTTAACTGATTGTGGGGATATATTTAAACTGAGGCGGGTGGAGTTTGTGGTAAAAAAAAACAGTAAAATGAAGTGTTAAACTGCAATGAATTTAAAAACAGAGACCAAAAAGCAACTGTAGCAACTGCACTAAAAAGGAAATAAGATAACTTTAAATAAATCGTAAATTTCACGAATAACCCCTCAAAAAAATCCATTAAATCGATTAAAATTGATTACAATGGATTATATTGGCAAAAAAATATTAAGATTATAATCCATTTTTAATGGATTATAATCTATTATTTTGTCATTTTATTGCGGACCATATTATGACAATATAATCGATAATGATCGATGGGCGCTCGGTGCGGGAATCTATTAGAATCTATTATAATTCCAATATAATTGACATAAAATTAAAGTTTTTTAATGGATTTTTTTTCTCCATATGATCGATTATTCTACTCTGCGACCACAAAATCACCAGATAATTGATTATTAAACAAACAATTTTTTGTTCGACCACAAAATCGTCAGATAATAGATAATAATCGGAGAAACTTCGGTGCGGGTACGTATCAGAAAAAGACTGGATAGTAAATTTTTTGTTCAAGTTCTGAAAGGTCTCAGTTTCACTATTCAAATGCCAGTGTATAAATATCTTTCGTTAAAGTTTTGCCATTCCGGCCGAATGACATTCTCCCCGGAAATAACAAATTAAAGACTTAGTTTTGAACCCCAAGCGGGACTTTCAGTTATTTGAGTTTATGAAGTCTTTGTGTGACTTTGATCTTCTTATTATTATACGCATTGTCTTCCTCTGAAAGTTGAATTTCGCTCTGTCTGTCTGTATGTACCCTTGTTTTGTGCAACCTCCTTGCTATCGTCTTCTTAGTTATTTGCATCTTCTTCTGTTGGTTCGGAGTCTTCCTCGTCTTTTGTTGGTTCTGGAGTGTCAGTTGTCTTCTTATTCCCTTGTTCGATGACGAATAAATCTTTCCTTAGTTCCTGTCGATTATCTCTGTTTGGATTGAGTGTCGGAGATGCTAGGTCGACTACGTCTAACACCTTGTTTATTGGTTTTGACTGAATGGCTTCTAGAATATCCACGCACGCCGTCCGTAGTTTTGTATTTTTGTTGGACGTTTTTGGATCTTTTACTTTTTTAACGATACTTTATACTTTCCTTGCTTCTTTATCGGAGTTTTTTCGAAAGTTTTCTCTACCTGACTTTGTACGCTTTATATCAGAAACTTAGTTTTTGCCGTTCCTTA